GGTAACTACCCATCTCCCTCTATAAACCCAGATTATAGCCCCTATCTATATTGCTCATTGCATGTTTGACTGAGTATATGGTATGCTGCGCTACTTTGACTTTTTGTCTGACTTTCATGACTTAAATCAAATTAAATAAGAGAATGATTGGACAATCTCAGTTTCAACTTTTGTTGACTGTGTGAAAGCAGACTGTTGAAAGGGAATGCACCTGGGGGGAAGGTTGGGGGGAAGGCAGTTTGCCTGAGGTTTGACTGGGTCATTAAGGCTTGGAGGTCCCCATCAGTTTGGGAAGACCCAGTACTATGTTTATTTTTGATTTTGTGGCACATCAAACCATTCTATAAGTTTAGGTGGTCTGATTGTTCCAGAGGCTGGGAAGTCCCCATAAGCTTAGGGAGACCTAGTGCTGTAGATTTGCATTGAGAATCAGGTCATTCTATAAGTTTAGGTGATCTGGTTGCTGTCACTTGTGAGGGCTAATTGTGATTGACTTTTTCAGGGACCAAGTGCATTCTGTAAGTTCAGGTGCCTTGGTTGCCTTGTTTATTTCGGGTTTTTCTCTGTTTATTTGATCCTGAACGAGGAGGTCTGAGCCATTCTGTAAGTTTAGGTGGCTCAGCCTCTTCATGTTTTATTCTGGGAAAAATGAACTTGACAGAGGGCAGACCATTCCATAAGTTTAGGTGATCTAGCCCAATGCCACGCACAGATTGGACCAGAGAGAAACGAATCAGGTAGAGAGTCAGACTGTTCTCTAAGTTCAGGTGGTCTGACTCGAAGCCTCGCACATGTTGGAACCCAAAGGTTATAATTTGGCTATATTTTATTACTATTTTATTTAAGAACAAGCTGGTCAGACTATTTTATAAGTTAAAGTAGTCTGACCATAGCTTATCACAATACTGAAGAGAGTATAATTAAGAATATAATTGATGGTAAGATGGGGCAGGCTGAACTTAAGTTAGTTCAGTCCTATGCGGCCTTAGAAGACAAAGGGAAGACAAGTATATATAATCTGGATATTTTAAACAGTTCAGGGCAACTAGAATGGTCTACTCATATGCCCAAAGAAGAGAGAAGTAGTTGTGTCCTCTGTTCTGTGTATACTCTTTGGCTAAGTCAGGGCTCTCTTCTGCAAATCCAAGGAGTTGGTCAACTTTTGACTTTTCAAAGTTCAACTTGTTTAAATTTTATATGGCTTAATAAAAATTTGAGAAGTTTCATTTTCTAAAGGGAGTGCTGCCCAAATTTTTGCTAATTCAGAGAGTTAGACGAAATTTAACTCTGGAAAGTTGAAGATTATTTCTGTTGCTATATTCGGGCTGATATAAATTCTAAAAAGACACTTTTCCAACGGGAAGCACTGCCGAAATTTTCTTAATTTAAAGGAGTTAAATTATATTTTGACAGGTGGCGATTCTAGAAAAAATTCACTCTATATAGAGGAGATTATGTCAGGGTCTACCTTTCTTTCATCATTTGCTTAGAGGTAGACTTAGGCTTAGTTAGATGGAATGGTTTGAGTGAGATCGTGACATGGAGATTATTCTCCATGAACTTATAGACTTAGCTTGGGGATTGGCCTATCTGTATTACAGATCTTCTTAATCGATTGATTCAGGATTTGGACTAGATTCAGCTTGATCCTACGAGGAACATCTTCTGTTATCGTTGATAACAAGTCGGTTGCGATTCATCGGTTTATGACTCTACTCCAATTCATCCTCAATACTCAGCCTAAAAAGGCTTTAGCCCTGGTGATTTCATTGTTTTGTTAAGGTTTCACCCGGACTTTTATTGAATGGTCATTTAACAAAGGTGCTGAGTATTTAATTATAGTTGGTTGGACATGAGGCTGGGGCTTGCATGGCTAAAGCGAGGGTTATGAGTGTAGAGGTTGGTTGAAGTTGACTCCGTGTTGTGCGTTGACTTTTTGTTTGACTCTTTGATGTGATTGCAGGTATGTATGATGGTTCAGATTTGGATTGGTCTGCCTGTGATCATACATACATCTATGTGGTTGTGAGGAGTCCCACTGTGACTGTAAGAAGTGATCGTCACATGCTTATTCCCCTTACATATATATGTGTGTACCTAAGTTAGATGTTCGCGTGGCCTGAGGGGCCCGCATACTTAGGACTTAATTAGGGGTTGAGATTGGGAAAGGGGGGAAGACCCCTCTATTTTGCTTGTATGCTTCTAGAAGAATTCTTAGTCGGACGTTGATCCTGGACCGGGATTCGAGGTCCTTGTCCAGGACATCCCAAGCCCTTGACTCTGCACGAAAGGAATCTTCCCGTGCACAGAACGTATCTGCCCTGCCCATCGAGACACCCAACCAAGAGGGCAGAAATGTCGCGAGGGTTGAACGGCATGTCCTTCAACCGTTGAATATCGTGAAGGAAAAACCCTCATGATATATTCCTTCAGCCATTCAATATCGCGGGGCCGGAGCTGCGATTGCCGTGTACGACCAGCATCGCGGGTTGATGTAGGAAGGGCTTGCAGCCGCGCAACTTTATATTAAAGCTTTGAGCACGACGTTCGTCCGTCCTAGTGTCTAGAGTTATGGGATTAAGTGATTCGTATGTGTACGCGTGTGTCCAGAGTCGTGATAGGCCAGTGATGTTAACCGACAAGGTTACCCAAGGATGTGATTTTGGGATGTGGAGACCCTTCGACCTATTTTTTGCTTTTTTAGAGTTATTATAGTTGGATGTTGTAGTCCGTGGTTGCCGTCAAAGTCAAACCCCTTGACTCGCTTCCAGGCCCTAGGGGAAGGAGCTGGTCTCCAGGGCCATAAGAGACGATTGCCACCACATGTATGAACATGTGTACCACCCACTCTTCGCAGGGTGGAGAAGAGGGTGTGGTTTTCAACCGCACTTGGCAGTTGTCCAGTGTCGAGAGATCAGTCCCTCAAGGCGCATGTCAGCCGACACTTGAGTGTCGAATGCGACCCTCGAGATTAATGAGGAACGCATGAATATGGGTACTACATAGTATGTCATCACTACGACCGCTTGCGTACGCGTGCATAGCGAGTCGATATGAGAAGGCCCCGCGTCTGCGCGGTTTTATACTAAGTCTCGCGTGCGTCGCATATCTGATTTCCACGTCGGAGAGTTATGAGATGGCTACTAAGGGACTAGGAGTGTTCTCGCGTTGTTTGTTTTGTGTCATTTTGTGTATGTGTAGGTATGTGTGTTTTATGTTTATGTTCGTAGTGTGGTGTATGTGTGGTGAGTGGGATACGTGCTAGTCGATCGTCGTCGAGTCGCGCTTGGGACCTCAGCCCCCCAAGATGTCGGTTCGCGTGCGGGTCTGAATAGAGGAGTAGTGACACGCGTATCCCCTATGCTACAGCGAACAAGAAACGCCCTCGGCTGGTCCACCTCTACGATTGCAGCTGATCAACTTTCGTATTGTAGACTGGTAGCTCGGCGGGGATACACCCACCGAAGGGAGGTGACAACTCCCGTAAGGTGGAGGTAAGTCGTGCCTCGCGTAGGCCCTATCCTGTCGTAGGGGCTCGCGAGAGGTATGGCTGGCGCACTCAGTCGGAGCGGCTTGCGGAAGCTCCATGTATATTCACGACGAAGGATTAGAACGAACTCTTGCGTAACGCGGCCGGGAGGGTCCCGCACTGCCTTGTGCGGTGTCGAACCGATGCGCTCGACAGGCGACGCCGTTGCCGGGGTAGCGAAAGCCTACCGTTGTCCCTGGTGGAACGACATCCGGGTATAAGAGTGAGAGAAAGTAGGCATATGAGGCAAGGCTAAGTACATAATATCTTGCCAGATTATCTATGATAAAATAATTGTTATAACAAGTCTTATTTTTGATTGGATTGATTGCTTAGACTGGAAAGTCATGAGGGAGACCCTACAAGGGGAAATAGGGCTTATTAAAGTAGGTCCTATAGGAATGGAAATGGGGTAGGCCTTGTTAGGGCTGAGTTATAGGCTAACTATGGTAGAAATCTGATGCGAGGTGTGATAGGATCGGATGGCTGAGTAAGATGGTGTGGTCTTCTTAAGCAGGAAAGGCGAGTAAAGACAGTCTGCAAAGATGTCGGGACCTATGGCAGATGGTGAGGGGAGGGTCCTGACACTCGAGGACCTCATTGAGGCACTGGATAAGCGGGAAAGGACGCCAAGCAATGTCCCCAAAGTCGACACTTTCCACTTTAACGGGGAACGAGTCTCTGATTGGTTAGACTTGGTGGAGCAAGCCTTGGTGGGATTATCGGATGAAGTAAAGTTCAAGCGCATCCTGAAGTATGTAGTTCATGCCCACCATCAGGAGGTGGAGAAGGTTATAAACGCGGCCAATGGCAGCTGGGCCCGATTTAAGGATAGGATACGGAGGAAATATAGGCTGGGCGATGGACTGCTAACCACGGCGGACCTAGAAGCCATGAACAGGGACGACTTCACCATGGTGGGGGCGTTCGTGCAGAAATTTAAGAAGAAGGCTAGAAAAGTTCATGGCATCTCATAGGAAGCCCAATGTGCTAACTTTCTGGGGCTGCTCACCGCCGCGGAGGCAGCAGAACTAACGAGTCATGGAGGAGGAAGCGATAAACTTACGTGAGCCACTATTGACAAAGGCGTGGCAGAAGGGAGTTTGGACGAGGTGGAACAACACCAGATGCGCCTGCAAAGGCGTAAGCGGAAGGAAAGGGATGCCACAGCGTCGGGAACCCCGGAGGTGAGAAGGATTGTCACTAACGAGATGGCGGAACTGGGCTATGGGAAAGATGGGGTAATACAGAAAAAGGTAGTGACGGTGGTCCAAGGTAAGGGAAAAGTACCAGTGGTAGAGGAAGATGCTCAAGAAGAGTGGGAAGAGGAAGAGTCTGTGCCACAACACCTCTCGAAGGCACTACGCAAGCAGCGCAACTTAGCTCAAGAGGGGCAAGGGTAAGGAAAAGGGCAGGTGCCTCAGACAGTGGTAGTCGCGCCACCAAGTGCGTCGGCTCCGTCAAGTAGCACGGGACCCTCGCAAGTGTGGGTACCACCATTCGGGCAGTGGCCCTGGCCTATGTACAATACTTTTGTGCCATGGGGAAGTCCGGCTCCGCCCCGCCTGGTGGTACCGTACGTTGGGCCCCAAGCGAGTATGCCGCCTCCAAGCTACCCCGCCGCTCAGGCCCAGCCCATGGCGCCACCCCCAGCGCCCGCACCAAGCTCACAAGGTAGCGTTGCAGGTGGGGGTAATCAAGGCCAGGGAAGTCAGGGGAATGGAGGGAGAGGCGGTGGTCCGGTGGAAGAGGACGCGGCAGAAATGGTGGTGGTCGAGGAGGTCAATGGGATAACCAAGGTTACCAGGGCCAGGGAAATCAAGGTAACCAAGGGAGCCAGGGAAGCGGGAGAACCCGCTTTGATTGGAGGATCGCCATATGCCAACATTGTGACAAGCAAGGTCACACCATACAGTTCTGCAATACAAGGCGGGAGGATGAAAGAGTGGGACTGATCTACTCCAACATGGATGGCAACATGTACGATCAGTTCGGAGAGTACATTGGCAGGAAGGTCCTTGGCGGAGTGAGGGCGGAAGCCCAAAGAAGGGTAGCTGCACGACAAGCACCGCCTGCCACGTTCAGGTTATGGCAGGAGAAAAAGGATCCTCCAATTAGAGTGGAGGAAGTGGGGAGTGATGAGGAGGTGACCCAAAGGCTGCGGGCGGGGGTTTGGGGAAGATGGAAGACCTATTAGGGAAGGTGGGAAGGTACCAACAGAAGTTGGTGGACCTCTGTAAAGGAGTGAAGGAATGGAGGGCCAACATCCCCAAGGTCTTCCTCTATGATTCCGGCCCAGAATCCATGCCAGGACGACCCGGGGTGACCACCGTGGGATCAGGTCCACGATCAGGGATGATGATCAGACCTCCTACGCCGCAGGGAAGGCTGGTGCAGGCTGCTCGTACCCGAGGTCAGGCTAAAGCCGGTGCAAGCCAAGAGCCTCCTCGAAAAGAACCTGAACCAGAAAAGAGGACGGAAGCCGTAGAAGTGGAGGATGCTGACAAGGAGGAAGAAGAGGATGAAAGGCTGCGCCAAGAGGAAGATCAGAGGGCGGAACAAAGGGCTAGAAAGAGAGAGGCCAGAGAGGAAGTCGAGCCAATCCTGCGCGAGGTGCCGCCCAAAAAGAAAAAGTATGGGGTCCGGTTGGAAGAAGGGTTCGATGTGGAAAAGGTGATTGATAGGTTGTTGGAGGGTCACAACGACCTTATGACCCTAAAGGAGATTTTGGCGTCGGCACCTAAGCTCCGTGACGGACTGAAGGGGAGGTTGTAGTGGCCTCTGGTAGCCAGTGTCCATCTAAGTATGATTCTACCTAAAGAAGCAGAGTGGGCAGAGATGGGGACAAAGATGGGGACAAAGATGGACTGGAAGTGCGTAGCTTGTGGCACGGTGAATCTGGTGGTAAAGGGCTCCAAGTGTTCAGCCATGGTGGACACGGGAGAGGAAATGAATATTATCCGGAAGGCTGACGCGGTCAGGTTCGGATTGGAGATAGACCACTCGGATTGCGGTATCCTGCATGAAGCCAACTGCAAAGCGGTGTTTTGCGGGACAACCTCGAATGTACTTATCGAGGTTGGAAGAGTAAAGGCCAGGTTGTGCTTCTTTGTTATGCCTCATGTGGATCACGGGATTCTCTTGGGAAGATCTTTCTAATGTAAGACAGAGACATTGATGTTTAACAAACACGATGGGACTCTGATCCTTATCATGTGTGACCTTGCCTGCGGGAATTATGAAGTGATTACCTGCAGGAATACAGGGCCTTGAAGCATAAGGAACCGACCCAATCCGGGTTCATTCACGATTGAGGAGTCAGAGGCCGAGCGCCGGAGACTACTTGCAGAACCAGAAGAGGAGGAAAGAATCGAGGCATTTTCCCTCAACTTGTTGGACATGAATAAGGCCATGGACATAGTGGCAACGCACGAGATGGTGGATCCAGACGCCATTCCGGCACTGAGGGAGCAAGTCTTGGAATGCCCCCAGGCTGGGGAGTTGGAGTTGGTGTATCGACTTCCAGGGGGAGGGAGGAACCCGACATCGATGCAAGCACAAGCTGTAAGCCGACCTTTTTTAAGGGACGACTCAAGCAGGGTTCCCAAAGGCGGTACAAGACGATAGACAAAAAGTGTCGCCCAGTCCCCGTCCTCGTTACCGAAGATGATGAAGTATATTATGAGCGGGAGCGAGGGTTGATACGACAGATGAAGGAGAGTGCCTCAACAGGGTCATATCGTATCAACGAAGAGAACGAATGGAAGTTGATAATATGAGAGCGTCTGGCTTCCTACTGCCCCAGGAAAGAGCTCTAATGATAGAACTAATGAAAAAGAGGCATCGTGCCTACGCGTTTAGTGATGAGGAGCGCGACAGGTTGGATGGCCCGCTGAACCATTGCTACTGCGTTGGTTCACCCTTGCGGAGCCACATTCATATGGATCAGCCCTCGAGGTGTATGCATTTCCGTCACTGGCCTTTCTGGCGGGTAAACCGAAAATTGGTCATATCCGGAGTAAAGGTCTCTAAGTGAAATTATAGGCCTTCCAGCACAGGATTCTGACAGCGCATCCACATTTGGCAATCCTCCCGCATCTCGCATAGTCACCGCATCCAGCCACTGCAGATCTTGTACCCATCGCAGCGTTCCATTGGGTTTGATGAAACAAAACCATGGGGATGCGTACGACCCACTTGAGTAATCGGCGACATGCGTACGTATCTTGCCGTCGAGTTAATCAACCACCTTCTTCTCTTCGTCAGGATTAGGATATCGCGCCCCTCTCAAGTTCCATGGCTCGTGCGGCGCAGTATATTCAGGACCTTGAGAAAGTCTTGAACCTGCTTGAAGAGCATTATCTCACTGCGAGTGGGGCCAAATCTAAACACTCATGAGGGAAACTACTATCTTAGGGTTCGTCTGTAGTGAGAAGGGCCGTCGGCCGGACGTAAAGAAGACGAACAAGATTATTGAGTGACCAGTACTATTCCGCTCAATAACTGATGTTAAAAGCTTTTGTGGCACATGTGGATTTTGGAGGGCATTCGTCAAAAATTTCGCTGCCAAGACTGAGCACCTGAGAAAATTGGTTCGTCAGGATCAGAAGTGGGTCTGGGGTGAAGAGTAGGAGAGAGTGATGGCAGAAATGAAGGAATAGTTTAGAGAAGGAGGGTTGGTATTGGGGGCACCGGATTATGATGCCACAGAGACAAGGCCATTCATTGTTGAAACGGATGTTGGACCGGCCGCCTTAGGTGCAGTTTTGATCCAAACAGATACAAAAGGGAAAGAGAGACCGCTGCCATTTGAGAGTCGAACTCTCTGTACGACTGAGAGAAATTACTCTCAGTTCAAGAGAGAGACTCTCACGGTCCTCCACTGTCTGCGAATCTTTTGAAACTATATCTTTGGCAGGAGGTTCATATTGAGAGTGGACCCGACTGCTCTGGCCTATTCCCTAAGGAATTATGTTCCATCGGATCCGACTGTTGTCAGATGGTTGACGTACATCTGGATGTTTAATTTCGAGTTGGAACGAATTCCCGGGAATAAGAACAGGGCGGACAGGCTGAGCCCTATCAACTAGGACAAGCAAGCGGGGGAGGCGGTAGAGAACACGCCCCCAGTTGATGGCTTCCTAGATCAGGAAGAGGATATCCGTCTTCACATCAATGAGTGGTCCCCGTGAGTGCTTAGCTGCGTTGGCCATCCTATCTGGCATGCGCCAAGTGGGTATGAACGGAAGGCAGAGCTGGTACTCAAGCATTTCGAAGAGGAAGATCCATGGGGCGGCAAAGATGTTCAGTGGATGATGAAGTTGGCACTGACTGGCACGAATAGTCTGGTAGAGGAGGTGAGAACAATAGAAGAGGGGCCAGATCGGGTAGAGAAACACGAGGAATTGATGGGAGGGATGTACATCCTCGTCAATACGCTTGTGCAAGAAATTTTGATCAGGTAGGCTCGTTGAACCCGACTGAGAATGAGGATGTGGTGCCAGAGAGTCAGGATGACGAGTTTGAGGAGGGAGAGATCAAAGAGGCATTCCGTATAGAGGAGTATGATGGAATCTACCTGGAACTGGGGCTTCTCCAATCGTGCGAAATGCGGAACAGAGATGCAAGCGATAGGGCCCAAAGGATGATGCAACGCTATTTGGTAAGGGATGGTCATCTTTTCGTGAAGAGGCAAGTGAGAAATCCTAGGAGGGTCGTATGCGGCAGGAACCGTCAGATTGACATTATAGTTGCACTTCATGATGACATTGTGAGAGGACATCGAGGAGTTCATGACACGTATGCCAAGATAAGTGAGCTATATTATTCGGATGAGATGATGGAGATGGTTGGTAAGTTTTGTCGGTCCTGCGTACCCTGTCAAGAGCGGTCTCGTCTGAGGCCAGGAGATTCGTTGCATCCGAGGCTGGAAAGGGAAGTAGGGGTCGTAGTACATCTCGACCTACTCTTTATGCCACTTGCGGATCATCGCTACAACTACATCTTCGATGCGCGTGATAACATGTCTAGCTTTGTGGATGGGCGGGTCATTCGTACAAAGACTGGGCAGGTCTTGGTTAGCGGTATCGAGGAGTACTACCTACGCTATCCCTTTATCAGAGAGTTTGTAATGGATAGAGGGTCGGAGTTTACCTGCCGGGAAGTACAAGAGTTGTTATCAAGGTACGGCGTGGTAGCTAATTACACCACGGCCGCACACCCCCAGGCGAACGCTCCAGTGGAGTAGGACACAACACCATTACGAACCTTCTGGCTAAGTGGACTGAGGGTAGGCCTAATCAGTGGCCAAGGTACCTGAGGGCGGCGTTCTTTGTCGAGAATATTACGGTGAAAAGGACCACTAAATACACACCGGCCACACTGTGGTATGGGAGACACGCTACCTTCCCGATCGAGAGCTTCCTAAAGACTTGGAGGAGTCAGGATCAGGAAGTCAATCTGTCTTTTGAGGAGTTGCTCGATATTCGAGCGCGGCAGGTGGGCGCGATAGAGGAAAAAATTAAGGAGGCGTCCAACCAAGTGGAGAGGAGTCGTATGGAGGATAAGGCTCGTTGGGACCAGTCGGCGCGAGTAAGGAAAATACCCTTGGCAGTTGGGGACGTTGTACTCCTGTATGATTCATCCTTGGAGAAGCAATGGTCCAGGAAACTCGACAAGAGGTGGTTAGGTCCCTATCGGATAGTGCGATGTGGAAATTTCAGCGTATACCAGATTGAAGAACTAAATGAGACCGAATGGAAGGATTGGGTGTCGGGAGCGAGGCTGAAGAAGTTTGTGGCAAGGGAAGAGGTAAGATAGATGATCTAGCTTCCTTAGAGTAGGGATCATAGGATGTGTAGATTAGATAGGACGCATGTTGTATGCGTTTGGTTTGACCTGAGCCGGCTTTAGTTACCACGTGTTTGCTTACCCCAATGTGTGCCTGTTGTCCCCCTCACCTGTTGTGCGGGTCTGACTTTACGACGACAGCCATGCCAAGAGGAGGGAGGGGGACGCGGCCGCCACGGAGGCCGTTAGGAGCATCAGGAAGGGTACGAGCGGCATGGGTCTCACCACCGAGAGAGTACGCCAGTGTATGACGATGGGGATATTGAGTTCTTCCTGGACGAGTTCTGGGCGTATGCAGATCATATGGGCTGGGCTATGACCCAATTGATCGAGAGGCTGAGAGGAGCCGGCAGGTTCGCGGAGCCCATTGCACAGATTCGTAGGGAGGCAAGGACGAGGCCAGAGGTGAAGCCGAGGATGCAGGAGTTACGACCATCACCTGTGGGGCCTGACGGGAGACCGATCCGCCTGGAGATCAGGAATGCAGAGGAGTTCATTCCCGCCTTTGAGCAGTTCATGCATGGTCAGGGTATATTGAGGGATGAGTGGGCAAGAAGGTTACCCCTGTAGACCAGAAAGGCGGAGAGGCCATTGGCCAGACAGATCAGGGATATGACTCGAGATTGGGAGAGCTGCAGGACACACTTGAGAGAGGCATTCCGATGGCCAGAGCCGCCTCAGCCCAGAGTAGAGAGACGTCAGAGGAGCAAGAGGCAGAGGGACCATGAACCCAGTGAGGCCAGGCCATCTCGAGGAGGACGAACGACACTTGCCAGGCGAAAGGAGGAGTCGGTGCCTGGGACTGAGGGGCGAGGGGCATATCCTGAGTGCGGGTTGGGACCGGTGGAGTTCCATCGCTTTACTGAGGGTGGACTGGGAGGATCTCCACTGCGCACACGGGAGGAGATGCCAGTATCTGGAGAACTGCTGTAGGAGTTGGAGGCACACTTGGACGTTTCCTACTGGAGAGTGCCGCCGGTAAGTGAGAGACGTGACGAGCCAGCAGAGGAGGCACCCCGAGAGGAGGCCCAGGGACCTGAGCGAGAGAGGAGGCCGAGTACTGAGAGGGGGCATGCAGGGGAGGAGGTGATAGAGGTTGAGGAGGATACTCCCCCTCAGACGCCAGCTGTGGGGCTGAGACTTGGGAGTACGCCTGAGAGCACACACAACAGAGAGGAGGGATCACAGCGAGGGGGGATCCCACTACCACCACCTGAGACGGTCCCTACGCCAAGAGGAGGGGTGGAGATGGAGAGAGAAAGAGCTGACCGGAGGAGGGAGGCCCTCGTTATGATTGACATGCATCTGACTGCACACGCCTTTGAGCACCCTGACCTAGAGGAGCCCGTACCGGTAGAGCCACTCTAGGAGCCACGCCAGGCTGAGAGAGAGATATGGGAGCGGAGATTCCGGAGAGAGCCGGCCGCCGCACGAGAGAGAGAATGCCAGCAGGGGAGACGGCTGAGGAAAATCGGGCCAGAGTAGGAAAACGTTTGGAAGAAATCTGGCAGGAGAGACAGAGATTGGAAGAGGCAGGGACACTCCCAGACCAGCCATCAGGCCCACCACCACCCAAGCCATACGGAATCAAGGAGATGTGGGATGAGTTCCTAGACCAACATGGCGAGGGATTGACGGCTCCAGAAAAGGCGGAAGTTGGGACCTCGAAGAAAGCAGATGAGTACTTGGACCGAAAGATCCGCTTCCTGTCCAAGACATCCTTTGACAGGTATATGATGTTGGAAGCTGATCTGAGAGGAAAGAAGATGAAGGAGATGAGTCATGGAATACGTTTGGAGGCAGTTGAGGCTGAGGTCCGAGAACTTTGGGCTTTGGTGGCTAGTCAGGCTGCCATTATCCAGGACTTGAGGCAACAACCTCGAGGTGGAGTGGATAGGGCAGAGAGCAGCCAACAGGGAGAGCAGAGACAGGCAGGGCATGGCTTATCAGGACAGCCATCCGCAGCTGAGCCTCAACAGGGATCGTCCATGGGAAGAGCCATCTTGGAGCCTGAGGAGGCGAAGGCCAAGAGGGAGGCGGAGAGAGAGGCCTTCGAGTTCAGAGCCCCTATTGAACTCGCCACACTGCCTATAGAAGCAGCGGAACCCACCATGCCACTATCAGTTGAGGAGGGGCTGCCATCAGCCAGTAGTGAACCAGTCCAGGGCTCAGCAGAAGGGTCTATGGATGTGCTTCTCGAAGTGGTCCACACTATGATGCAGGAGGAGGCAAACTTATTTTCACCTGAGCAGAGGATAGAGGAGCCTCCTGAGAGTGAGATGGGGGTTGCGATAGAGAGCATCATCGAGGGAAGACCCCAAAGGTTGGATACGCCTGAGTATAGGCCAAAGGAGGTTGGGATACGACCAGGGCCTTGTACTCAGGAGTTGGGGACAGGACCTGAAGAGCCTACGGACGTGCCTCAAAGTTACGGGTTGGGCAGAGAGGCATGCGAGGCACCATCATCACCAGGGTCTCAGAGGGAGAAGAAGAAGTTCAAGAAGTGGTTTGACGCATCCTACTTCTTTTGCAAAAAGGAAGGTCATCGAGCCTTGCAGTGTCCTAAGTTCTTAAAGGACCTGGCTGAAGGGAAAGTTACGAGGAGTGGAGGAAAGATGTATGATAGGCAAGGTAGGGTAGTAGAGCGATCTGCCGATGGAGGTAGGGCTCAGCTGTACAGGCAAAACCAGGAGGAGATGAGTGAGTAGGGACTGGGTTGCCTACAAGCCAGTAGAGTTAGAGTTCTTTATACATAAAGATTGAGTAAGAGATGTACATTTTTGGAGTCAGTCCTGTGTAATCTATCTAGTTGTACATATGTAGATTGTAATACTTGACAAATTTTTGGGATTCTTCTGTTGTGACTTAGGAGATAGTATTCAGTTGTGTGACATATTTCGAGTGTGCAGTTACGTGTGATTTGTGTGGATAGATTTCATCTATATTTTTTTTTTTGTGATCTGAGATTTTATATACTTGGGACACGAGTGTTATTTGGTTGAGTAGAGTGGTGGGGCATTAATTTCCTGAGTATACATTGAGTTGAGACCCTATGAGGCTTATCGTTGAGTCGATCACTCTCACTCTCACTGTGTGGCCTTATCCTGATGTATGATGGCTTTGTGTGAGAGATGTGCGGGATACATCTCATGTTTTATGAATGTGAAACATGTAAAACTGTCTACTCTTCGGTATACTCATGCGGCCTGCTTACGAGCAGATGTTTGGGCCGGGTATAAGGTAAGGGAGTGCAGTCTGTTTCTGTGAAAGAGTATGAGAGTCCTAAGGGATTTATGAGTCTCTGAGACTCAAATGCTTCACCATGCCAAAATGTTTTACTGTTGAGTTGTGGCGATGACCCATAAGATGACCCTTAGTATTGAGTCGTTTTATGGATAAGACCCCTTCAGTATGGGAAGGTGGTAATGTTTGTTTATTGGAAGATTCATCTTCAGAGGGAAGATGTTTTAATGAAGGGTCGCGTGAGAGTTCATCCTAAACAGAGAAGGGATGGCTGGGAGACCTATTGAAAGAGACCGCCTTTGTATGAAAAGGTGGTAAATAGATTCAATGGCATGGTAGGCTGATTTTGAATGATAAAGTCTGACGAGAGGGACCATGTTTTTGTTTGGCCATTTGTGAAATTTTTGTAAAAGTCGCAAAAGTTCTATTGGGAGATGTCTTCGGGATGTGTGGCCTTCTTGCTCTGATCAAGTGAGGGGGCCACGATCTTGCAGATCTGGCGGTAATTTTGTTTTGTGATAGTGGAGAGGCTGTCGTGTTCTCTCTGTGTTGTCCCACAGAGGGCTGGTAAATGTCTTTTATGTGTGACAGACCTTTGCGTAGTCCCGCAGTAGGCCTGTATTGTTGCGACACACCGTCCAGCCACTTGATCTAATCTTGGGGCATTTATGAGAGACCCAACTAGGGGTATAACTGGCATCATTGAGGTATAACCCTTAGTGTTGGCTGCTGATCGGCACAACCTGACAGCGGGTTCACGTCTCGCCAAAAGGGGTAAAGACTTAAAGGGGTGTGACCACCCAGGAGTCCTGATTGAATGTTTATCAGGAGAAAAAACCTATCGTGGCACAACCTGCGAGGGCACTACCTCTAAAATAACAAACACGGTGGGCCGTAGATCTGGCACGATCACCCAGGTTACGGTGGGCCAAGATGGAGACCTGACCCTCCTGTACTAGACTTCAGGAAGTGTTTGAGATAAGATTTGTGTATATATATATATGTTTGATTGTGAGAATTATTGGAGTAGGCGAGAGTGCCTTCTAAAGGTCTCGGTTAGGGCCCGCGTCCTTCGTTAGGGCTCTGCTTATAGGGTAGTGACTAAGGACACTTAACGAGAAGTCGGCGTTTCTCTAAGGCAAAGGCAAGAGGACAGTTGAGAGGGGCCGCTGAGACTTATGCTGTAGTACGTATGTCCAGTACACCTGGGTCCTTATGTGAGGACAATGGAGACCCAGGTTGGAACCCTGGCGGCATATAGTTATAAGGGCTTGGATTGTTGGAGGCCTCAACCCTGAGTCTGTCGGCTAATCGGATCGGTTCCTTTCTCCTCAGCATCTGGGGTTTTGAATGGATTTATATCTATTTGATTCTGCGAAGCGGCGGGGACGTCGCTTAATACGGTCCGGTAAGCAGTTGGTTTGAATACCCTTACAAGGGTATCCGTCCTGGTTTTTGCAAGTGACAGAAAATAAGTTTGGATCAAAATAAGTCGTGCGAGGCACGACCGCGTCTGTAACTTACCTTGGCTAAGATAGAGGGTGAGTGAGCGCGCAGTTTTAAGGTGCGCGTGTGATTTTGTTCCCTTGTGTTGATCGGGCAGTCGGTGTAATTGACCGACTGAGCCTTATTTTTCTCTAATTAGACTAGGGAATTTTTGAAAAGATCCGGCTTTTTGCCCAGCACGTCTAAATGGCGGTAGGCTTGGGGCGTAGGATGGCGTGCATAGTGACGACGATACAGTTGGGGCTTGCCGGCGTGGACGCTTAGTGGTCGTAGGTGCAAATGCAGGCAAAGGAACAGCCCAGGGCATTTCTTGGCCTTGAGCACTGCGCAACACCACTTCATATAGGATGTCGCGCCCGTTGGTCTTAGGCTTGGGCTTAGCCCTATACGTTACGGCACTCGACTATTGTTTCGAAGGTACGGGGATCGAGGCCAGCGGGCGGCGGCATAGGAGCACTGGATCATCAAAGGGCTGAGGGGTTGAGGGTCCCGCGGGACTATCCCCCTTAGTTTTGTTGGGGGAGTCCGGTGCCAGGCCCACCAGGCGGGACCGAGGGAGTGCCTAAAGGGCATGAGTGCCCCCCCCCAACCGCGTTAGTTTTTTAATTTTTTTTTGTTTGCTATTTTTTGTTTTCCCTATTTCTTTTGGTTGGCAGACCTGTGACCTGTGTCGTAGTTCGCAGCGGCGACAACCTCAAAGGTCAAGGTCATAGCTGCAACAGTATAAGGTTAAGGTTAAGGGGACAACCTGTGCGACAACCTGTGTCGTAGGTGCTGCAATACCGAAAGGCCGAAATAGGTTGTCGTGGACCGCCCAGAGCCCACAGCTGGGCTAAGGTTAAGGGGACGACAGTCACATCAGCCCGTGCGAGATTCGGGGGTGTCCAGTCCCGGTCCCTCAAGTCCAGTTAGCGAGTACCTTAGGGGACTCGGCACACTGAGGCTTGAGCACGAGGACAGACCAACTAGCTGCAGAAGTATTAATCAAGGGGCAGCAAGCAGTCAGTCACTCATATCTGCGTAAGCCATGCGGGAGAGTCTGGCTAAGCGACGAAGCAGCAGGGGGAGAGGTGTCCAGTGGAGTGAATCCGGACGGGAGGTTGTGCGGGGTGCGAGCAGAATACTTGCGGGGACGCTGGCCGGAGACACAAGGCGGGGCGCCATAGAACGAGGCGGAGCAGCGATCTAAGGAGAGTAGTGGGGTGCAACGCTAATACTGAGCGTGCAGGGCAGCGGAGTGACGGGCGCTCAAGTAGAGGGGTGAGGTAGTAGAGTGACGGACGCCAAGGTAGTGAAATGGGGCAACCAAGTCTAGCGGACGAACCTGGACGAGGGCCTAGCCAGGTTCATGCGGGAACGATATCGGAGATGGCGGGACGAAGATCGTAGAACCCGCCCGTTTCTTAATGAAATCGGGCACGAAAGGGGCCTACTAGGGGGTTTTCGGCGCTGGCGACCATGATGGCGAACTCCGAAAGGCAAACAAATTAGTGTAGAGGAAGTTAGTAGGATTAAAAGCTAGAAAGAGAATAGGCTTCGTGGAACCATCGTAGTAGTGGAGATGGCAAGTTTGAGGACCTAAGATCCCGCTCGATTTTTGAAGAAATCGAGCATAGGTGAGGGTGTTGCGGCGTTGCGAATTCGATGGTGTGGTTAGAATTAGAGTTCGGGTGTTGGATTCGGAAGTGAGGAGAAACGGGGGAGCGGGGAGGAAAGGCAAGGAAAAGGGCTACGCACCCGGACGGCTCCTTACGAAAGATTCATCCGATCTTACCCCTCCTTTCGCTAAATGAACAGGGAGAGCTTACCTGGAGAACTACAGGCGGAAAGAACAGGGCGGGCTTGCATGGAGAGCAGGAGGACCAATAACGCCGAATCTTTCCATGATCTAGCGGAAGCTACATTCCGGGTCTGCTCGTTTGATCGAACAGGGGAAGTGTGAAAGCAACCGCGTGGGAAGAGACCTACTTGACAACAGATGGGACCGAATGGGGGCACAGAGCTGGATATCAGTGTATATTTCCATACTGTAGTAGTGGATTTATCCGACTCTGCTTATTTTGCCGATGGAAGTGGCGTAAGGCCAGCCGCAGAGAGAGAGCGGGAAGAGAGAGGTGAGAAGAGATAGTGGAGACTTACCTCGTAACTCATGTAATACTGGTAATGCAGAATGAGCCGAAAGTCGAGCCACGGTGTACGTGCTGCGCATGGATGAAGTGGTTGGGGAGTTGGTCGGTATGAGGTGTTTGTATGCCTTTTCGTACATTGATGATGTCCGACTTGGTCAGGAGCTCTCATTAATGTTGAGGGGTCTGCGGTAACCTGTCCGCTGTTAAGTTGGCCTAATATACTGAGTTCTGTCCGCTGAACTCGCTAAAGGTTGCTGAAGAGTACTGGATTGTTGCTCACTTGGACTACAGGGCAGTTGCGATAGGGGTGCTTGTTATGCTCATAGTGCCTTTGTGATTGCAACCGCAACAAAAAAGCAGTAGGCTGTGTTCCCCCTTCGTGAATGTGTTGCTGTATGCCAAGGTCGCGACACACTACTCCATGTTGCTGCCTACTGCAGGCAGGGTGTCGTAAGTTGGCTGCTGACTGATACTGGCCGCAGTCTGCTGCCGACTGTAGCTGGTTTCATCTCATTACTCCAGACTGCGGCACACTACTCCATGTTACTGCCTACTGTAGGCGGGTTGAGGTAAATTGGCTGCTACAAACTGCTGTTGCGTCTCCTGACTCTGCGTGAATTGCTGACTGTGCACAAATTGCTGGCTGCCTGGCCGCACGAACTGCTGATACGTTTGTTGACTGGGGACGAACGACTGTTGTATATTGTCGCATACAGCTGCTGATTGCTACAGGCTGCTATGAGGTGGCATTTGGGCTAAGGAGAGGTGTTGAGACTCGGAGAGGTGATCAGGCTTTACAAGCAGGAGGTAGTGCTGCAGATTGGGAGGTCGTCAGGTGCTTGATATCGGCAGTTTAACTTCAG